CAGTGGCCTCACAAGGCTCCAGGATGTGGATAGGTGGTTTGCCTGTGGGTGGGCGGGGAGATACTTAGCATATTTATGAAACAGTATTAAGATACAGCAAAAGTTATGGGAACTCTTCTACCTTCTAAACCACAGAAATGCCAGTTATAACAGAACTTGAAATTTACAGGGATCAATTCAGTTTATTTACCACTTCTGGTCTGAGGAACAAGTATCAGAAATACTTTTAGAATTGATTAGTCATGCTACTTCATCTTGTATGAGTAAGATGAGCCTGGAGCTTGGGATGATCTTACTGAAAACGGAATTACACAGGAACTACTCATTAAAGGAGACTCTCAGGAGCTCCCTCCCAGGGAGTGTAGAAGTCAGCACTGCATTGCCTTCCTGTCCATCCCAAGAGGCTGTTGCAACACCCACTTGCATGGAAACCTACATGTGTTCTCTCACCACTACCAGCTCCTGCCGTGCCTTGTCTTTTCTCTCGCTGTGTGACTCCATTGACCAGGTTTCTGTCATACAACAAATATATAACTCATCAAAGCAAAACCAGAGGTGCACCAGACACTTCCTGTAACCACTGAATGCAAACAAGTGAAATAAAGGGAAGAGCATCGTGCATTTAGCCTTTTAAGACTGACAGGGTGGTAATAAGACATTCTAGGTTGAGATGTAAAAAATTAATTTTACAAGTTAATTTTATTTGCAACTCAAGTGGGAAATGGTTGCAATGTTTACAAGAGGCACAGGGCCATGTGGGACCCATGGTCCCACGCAGCACATCACCAGCAGCACTCCAGATTTCCAGCTGTATATTTTTCATTCTCCATCCCCACTATAGTACTTCATTCTTTAAAATTATTTTCTCGTGTGTCTTTTGTTTAATTTTGGTCCCTTTTTCTAATCTTCTCCCCTACCCAATACTTGTCAGCTTTCAACACACTTATTTTCCTTACACTGTCATGTCTTTATGACCTTTCTGCTCCGTACTGTTTCTCGAGAGCTCTATTTTAATCAGCTGCCTGGTAAAGCCATGGGTTTTCCTTGAGTTTGTCTTGTGTGCAAACCTGAACAATGACTCCTTGAGGTAAACAGCTACCTCTGTACCTTGTACAAGATGAATCATCCTGTCTGCTCTAAACTAATTCTAAGAATAATCATAGACATGTTTTTTAGTTGTAAAACTTCACAACGGGAGCTGAAAGCTAAAAATGGTCAGATAGCATAAGTTTGAACAAGAATCACCTAGAAATTAAAAGTTTCACAGATGTAACGAGACTAAAAAAATTCCGCCAGTTATTTTGTAATGAACAGCTCTGCTGGAACCAACCTCACCATACAGAACCTCTGAGATTCCTCTCTGCTTTTTTTGCAGTTTCTCTACAGAAAGGATCTCTTACCTTCAGCATGTAACAGCACTACAACATTAGCTAGCATGGAACCTTATGACACACTTATATGACATAATTGCACATGACCAACATCTGAATATACAATGTCCCTCCAACTGAGCTCACAAGTTTTCAGATGCAAATTAACGTGTCACATTTACAATCAAACATAATTTTTGGATAATGAAGCATTTGGTCAAATATTTCAAAGTGCAGGGTAAGAAATTCTCTTAGTATTCAGAAGAGTCAGGAGTCTAGTTTTCCTTAACCTTTAATTCTGACTCAGTCACTTCAGCACATTCTGGCATCAGTTTCGTAGTGGCCATAGGGAATTCATGCTTCTTTCCAGAGGGGGACCATCATTCATAACTTGGAAAGGGAAACTGCTAGGATTTCCTGTGAAGTGACATATTCTGAATAACTTTCTGAACCAGGTATTACCACCAGTCACTGGAAACTCATCAGATGGGTAAATGGGCAAGTTCAAAATTCACTGATTTTGCATGTCTTAAAAATGTACATTCTGAGAAACACAGAAATAAGGAAGTGAGCACTGATTGAAATTTGAAATGTAAAAAAGTTGAATAAATGTAAATATGCATTAAAAACATAAGACTTCAACTCCAGAATTTCATTTAATAAGTATGGGGAATTTCAATAGTTTTTGCAAACCAAATGAAGAAAACAAAAAGGATATAATCCTAATAACCGTTTGTATGTTTTTAAAAATATTTGGCCTTTTCTAGTGTTTAACTAGTTAAAATTTATTAAAATTAGCAACCTGTCCCTGTGTTTAAAATAATGTGTTGATATGAGAACAAGGTGACAAAATAAATGTGCCAGAATAGTCTAACAAAATCCAAAACAACTGACATCATAAACCAGCTGTGGACTAACTGGAAAGATTCAATTAAAAATGAAACTGGTCAAAACTCTTACCTAGGGGAAAACCATAATTGATAATCCCATATCTACCTCTTAGGATGTTTAATAAAGCCAAAAGGGTGTACAGAAACCAGTGTACTTAGAAGTGGTAAATAATGTTTTTGGAGAAGCTGACGTTACTGTAACTGGATCTGTCAAAAAATACAGTGAGTTCAGTATTTGGAAAGGTACTGGACAAACCAAGCAGACATATTCAACAAGCAGGGGAAAGAGCTTGATCTCGTCTAGTCCGCAAAAGAGAAGTATTTTAACAGAAGACTGGACTTAAATAGCAGAAAACCAATTATTATAATCTAGGCAAGGAGTTTCTAGAAATGCAGATGAACTACGCAGCAAACCAACCAGTCAGTCCGCCTGTGCCCTGCCGTGTGCTAACGCCTGTAGGAGTCATGACCTAATTGCTGTCTGCTTGCTTTATAAATGGAATTGCATAATTGATTAGGTTCCTTGTGGACTACTTTTATATTCCCCTGGAAAATTCTGTAGACTGATGGAGCCAAGACATCTCAGCAGAAGCTTTCAGTGGTCTGTCTGATACAAGAAAAATCCTGTGTTCTTTTTAGAGAGAACAAGTCTGAATAGTGTGTTGAGACAATGACAGACATTAGTAAGTAATATCCTACATAGAGTCAGTAGGATTTCAGAAAGAGGAAAACTGTAATAAGGTGACATACTGGTAATAATTCAAAATGTAAGAAAAAAGGTTTATGACTGGAAGTTCACAATACAGGAATACTTGTACAGACTTGGAATTTAAGCAGATAAAAGAGAAGTGGGTTCTGGTTAAATATACATAGAAACATAAGTCTAGGTACCCAAACGTAAAATTTCTTAAAGGCAAACAGAGAAGGATAACAAGTGAAAGAATTCCATATAGCATATCAGGTAAGAATTGTACAGCTGTTTTATATGCTGTCTAGCTTACTTCTTTAAAGGAAAGCAAGTGGCTCTATGCACAGGACTCCCATCCCCACTGTCCAAGTGGAAAAGAAACAGGGGGTCCCTCTTCCATGTTTCTAACTGGTTTCAGTCTCTTAGTCCTGTAAAAAGCACAATGAAGTGTATGGCAACAGAATACAATGGGCACAAACAACACAATTCAGAGATCCATACTGATGAGGAAGAGTAGAGAAAAAAATGTAGGGAAATAGGATTGTTCTGAAGCTGTTCAACAATTGATTAGCACATGGAAAAACACAGAAGTCAGACAGATACTTGTGTAGGTGGCTGTCTGGAAGCACATCCAGAGTTCACGACACACAGAGCACACTGCCAGGGTGTGGGACAGGAGATGGCAAGAACAACTGGATACATACACTGTACCTGTCCTGAGGTCCTCAGGTGACATCTGGGAGAAACTCCACTTTCAGAATTGTTGTAGCCTCCTCTGAATTCAAAGTAAGCTTGAAAAATGTACAGTGCTTAGGACATCACTCGAGCTCTTTGTACTTTGCTCCATCTGTACAGTGCTGAAGTGAGTTTGCACTGTTTCTTGCTGACACTCTGGGGAGCATCAGGGAAAACAGAATATCAAACCCAAAATATTTATTAATTATTTTCTGGAATGGATAAATATTTTTTCTGTTTCACTACTGAGTACACTTTTTTATTATATTATCCGAAAAGTCCATTGTAATGGGTAGTGCCAGCAAGGAAGGCACAAATTGAGAGTCAGGAACAAATGATTTTTCCCAATTTTGAGAAAATAAATCCCTAGTCCAGATTTTTATATATATATGTATATATACACATACATATATATTTATATATTTGTGTTTATCTCAATCCACAACAGATGTGGAATAATTGCTATACATGCTTGCATAGATACTCATATTCTAAAAAGGTTAGGTTGTTCCTAGGAATTTGAATGCATTTCAAAGCTGGATTCAGAAAATGCCATACAAAAATACTGAGATACTTAGTAAACCTCCTTAAAGCAAGTTCTCAGATGCAAAGTGACTGGTGTCCACTGGGACAGGACCTGTGCATGCCGTGGCTGTTGTTGATATGACCCTGTGTGTATTCCTCCTGTCAAGATTTAGTCAGCTTACAGCTGAACAGGTAGATAAATTAAGCAGACTTTGTAACTCAAAAGCTGCATTTAGAAACCAAATGCTTCAACGTTAAGATGGAGATGCATTAAGAAAAAAATCGTCTCATTTTAGTCATCTTCCAAGGTCACTCATCTCACTTTAATGACAGGTTCCAACTGAAAGAAAAGCATCAAATTTGTGAGAATGTAAAACAAAGGTGTTGCATGTTTAACCCCTCCACACATGCCAACACCAAAGAGAAGCCCTCCTTTCCTCTTACTCATATCACATAAAGATTTCATTTCAAAGTAATTATTACTTGTTTAGGAGACAGGCAGCGCCCTGCATGCTGAACAGCAAGTCACCAATACCTTGCTCAGCAGGGACTTTCTGCTGCATGATCCCATGCTTCTCAGTAAATTTGCATTCATAATCTTTTGTGTTATTCTCTGTCTCTTTTAGGGTGGTTCACACCTTACCTTTTCTGCAGCAAGTCCAGCTCGCTGACAAAGGTACATCCTGCATAACTGACTTCACACATTAACACAAACCAGGGAGGGTAAAGGGGAAGATTGTGGTTTCAAAAAGAAACTGAAAATTTACAAAGCAGCTGCCAATTAGCCAGACCTTAATTTTGCAAATTTATTTAGGAAAAAAAATTTAACATGAGCAAATGAGAATACTTCAGTGTTACAACAGAGTATATAAATGTCTAGCAATAGTCAAATAATTTGATCTTTAAATACAAAATAACCACATGAACACCTAATATACAGGTTTCATCTGAATACATATTTATTAGATAAATATTAGGTTGTCACATCATCTAACTACATACAGTTTTGCAAGACTAAAAATCACAATTATTTTTTCTGACCAGTTTAAAGTATGAAATGATTGCATTGTACTGTACATACAATGTACAAACAAAGACAATGGCCATTTTTGCATGTTACCTCAGATTGTACTTTTTTTTTTTTTAATTCTCCCTCTGATCGTGATATCAAAAATTGTACAAAGTATGAATTTGGTTACAATTTTTTTTTTAATCCCCGTATTTTTCTTCATTATTTCTGTAGCACCCTAAAAATACACAGGTGATAGACTAGTACACGTAAGCTAAATATTACATGTAGATAAAACAAAACAAAACAAAGGATCAGAGTATATTACAGAAGTGAAAGTGAAACAAATGCTGAGACTCCACAAACGCTAACAAACAGGATTCATTTTCCACATAAGATGGAGCTTCAAGCTTTTTATTTTCCTGCGAAATAAAAACAATGCACATTCCAAGGAAAATGAATGCATTTCTGTTAACATGTCTCTATTTGTCATTTACATATGTACAGCTGTCCCTTGAGTCTCCGCTGCAGACACTGGCGTGTATCTGTCAGTCCTATTAGTAATGTCTTGGCAGCAGAACTGTAGATCTCTGTGGGTTCTTTCCCAGATGAACTTCCATAGGGAAACGATTAAAAAGTAAACAAACAAAAAAAGAAGAATAAAAATACTACTGGAATCTCATATAATAATTAAGCTTTAAAAGAAATGACTGTGATTATCCTATTTGCTAGGTTTTTTTCTCTAAACTTTAACATGGCAGTGAACAGATAAAAAAATAACTAAATTTTCATTTAGAAGCTTTTTCATACTGACTATACAGTACCTGATTTTAGCTGACAGACAAGTTTTAAAACTGTCTCAAATGTCCAACATTTGGGTGATGGGTAAAAATTGTATTTTCTCTCTTAAGTTCTGCTTAGAAACCAAACGTTTCTGTAAGTTAAAAATGTCAACTGTCCGCTTTAATTATCTATTACTGTACAAAGCAGATGCCAACGCTGCTCCAAACATATTGCTAATATCTATGGGTTTTTTTTTCCCTTTACGCTTTCCAACAGGTACTTTTAAATGATACATTTTAAATACTACCAGTTAGCAAAAGATCAATCCTTAACATACCTGGTTTAAAATACTAATGTTGTGTTTAAGAGAAAATTCATTTCAGGTGACTAACTTAGCTGCTCAGGAATCAGTGGAGAATGGAACATTAAATAGAATCAATTAAAAAAATCTGAGCAGCCAGTTCCAACTAATAGTGAGAAATCTTCTTTATTCCCAAACCTATGGCTTAAGAAACTTACCCCCCAAACAAAAAAACCCGAACTCTAAGGGCACAAAGTCAGTTTATCATTAGCCACCCCTGCAAATGACCTCAATACCTATATAAAAAATGCAGGAAAAAACGGGGGGAAACTACTACAGTAAAATGGCTACAAAACACATCTGTATCCGCAACTGAAGAACGATCTTTCTTAGGAATTGTGTGATAGCAGGACCACACCACAACCATATTACCATGTATTACACCAAGGTATCTTTAATATTCTGCAGAGATCCTCTACAGGTTGTCAAGCCTACATAAGAAAAAAGACACTTCTAAGCAGAATAAAATATACTATACTGTTTCCCTCCCCCACCCACCAACATCCCAAAGTGTTACTGTGCCCCAGTTTCAGAGACCAAAGAACCAGTACAGTGACATAAATATGGTACCTTACAGATGTGCTGCTTGCCTTAGTGCATCTTTACCTGGTCAGACAGCTGGTCCAAGGTGTTTTGCTCACTTGGGCAAACAAACAAAACCTCTGCCATTACCAGCTCATGATCACCCACAGCCAATGAACATCGGTCAGTTAGTTGGGCTTTCTTTTTCCCAGGGCAATCACTTATTATTATGTTTCCACGACAGAGCTGGGCCCTGACTATCCAGGTACTGCCTGATGTATCAATTTGTTCACACATAAATGGATATGAAATTTGGGCTAACTTATCAAAAGAAAACAAGGGGGGCAAAAAAAACCAAACAAAAACCCAACTCCCTTATTCTGTTAAAGAACCCTCAATTTTCTTTTTTAAAAAAGGACCCATATTTTTCTTCAGACAAGGTATTTAAAAACACCAGCAAAAGTATAACCAGATCATGAAAATGTTGAATATTATCAAAGACGATACTAAAATATTCACAAAGATATTTACAATAGCAATTCTTAAAATAATTGATTTTGCATAATGAACAGCGCTTTTCTTAAAAAAACTTGAAAGAGGAAAAATATAAGTGTGGGACCATCTCTACATAATACGTTTGACAGATTCAATACTCCTACTGGAAAATAAAAGAACTAAACCGCCATTTCCTTTAATATCTACAGCAAGGTGCTGCTGACTAGCATATATATATCACGACGCATGTACAGCAGTAGTGGGAGACGTTAACAAAAAGAGCAAAATAAAACAAAAACCACAAAGAATTTACAAATGTGACTTTGGTGAGGAAAGCAAATCCAGAGTCGTAAGCACAGAGCATGCCATTTACAGCGTTGCAAACTAAACACAGAGAGGGCTAGGAAGCTATCTAGTCAAACTGACAGGAACAAACAAAATTTTGCCTGGCACTTCAGTTTAAAACGTATTGTGGCGAGCAAACGAAAGGTGTTTGATTGGATTTGGGAAGAGGAAAAGGAGTAGGGTCAAATTTGCTTTAGTAACAAAAAGAAACAAAACCAATAACTGTACAGTGGGCAAAAGCTGAAATGTTGCACCACGAGGGCAAAGTTGGCACACATGCACTTCTTACACAGCTACTGTACATCATTTATAAGAGAGAGAAAGAGAGAGAGAGACAAAGAGCACAGAAATGGGCACAGAAGCAATATGAAGCTCATGCAGGAGCAGCAACCACACGAGAAGCACAGATCACGGGGGCAAGACAGTGATTGTGGCAGCAGGGTCTCTTGAGGGCAGTAGCAACCTACTGACAGTTACTTATTCTCCCCACTCCCGGTCCTTCAGGAGAAAGAGCTCATTCCAGCAGCCAAAGTTTAAAAAAAGAAACTGAAGGAGGAGAAAAGGAAAATGCTGAAGTATCTGTAACAGTCACGAAAACAGAACACAAAGCAAAACAAAAATGAAGCTGCAAAATGTCTGTCCAATGTCAATGCCCCTTCTCAAGCTGATTATTAAAAATAATTATGCAGATAGTGATATTACTCTCCCTCCATCCTGCAATGATTTCCTCGCTGCCTTCAACCCAGCTTGTCTTACTATGCATTGTGCAGTACAGACAGTGACACAAACTCTCGGGGCACTGAAGGCTGTAGGTAATAATCAGGAACAGTTTGGTTTGCATCCCCCCTCCCTCTCTTTTCCATTACAGATGGCATACATGGCAAAAAGATCTGTTACAGCAATCTCTACAGCTGGATGTTAATGCAGCCAGAAACGGTACTGATTTGAAATCAAAACCACAAAAAAATCCCTACACATTGCAAACTCTTTTTTTTTTTTTAATTTTTCCTGGGTGTTTCCAATCTGTGTGCTTGGCCAGAGGAATCCTCTGCAAAGAGATGGTTAAGATCCCTGTGCTTGCAGAAATACCCACACCCACAGTTGCAGCCTGGAGATGCTCAGGGCTCTGCTACTGAAGTTGCATTAACTAAACTGCTGGCTCCCTCTAACAGGCCTGTATGTCTTCCCTATCTTTGCCACTTGACTGTAGGATTTGTGCTTTTTTGAGCTTTACATGTGTTTTTTTTTCTTTTTGTGTGTGGCCAGGACAATCACTCCAACGCAAACCTGTGGCTGGAGGGGGGCAGAGGAGAGGTGGGGTAGAAGGAGATACAGTTTCAAAAAAATGGAAGAACAAAGCATTGTAAGGACACTCTGAGACTGGTCAATTAAAGACAGTTCCATTTTGTTGCCTTTTCTTCCCTTGCCAAGATTCGGTTTTGCCAAGATACTTCACACTATGTTTATCACATAACTCTCTCTCTCAAGGATGAACACCAAATGGGGTTTCCAATAGCTGCACAACTGTCTATGCTTCTTTGTCACATGTAGCATGGCAGACTCGGAGATTACTGCATTTATTTAATTTTTGTATTATTTTCTCCCGTCACTTTCGCAGTCTTTGAAGCTAACAAAAGCAGTTCTGAGATGAAGAAAGCAGGGAGTGCACCATTGGATCAAGTTGTGAGTTTTTTTTTTTCTTCTCTTGTGGAAAAGGAGTGTTAAGATTCCTTGCTGTGCAGCCACACACGTGTGAACAAGTGAAAGGGATGGGAGAATACATATGGTTTCAGTTGTTCTCAAAGAGAGACAGAAGGTCATCATTGCTATTGCTTGGCAAATCAGGAGGATCCAGGTATGAAAGCAGCTCATCTGGATTTGTGAGTTCTGGAAGCAGCTATAAAATACAAAGATAAAAGGAAAATTACAGATAACAGAAATAAAACTGAGGAAAAAAAGGGATTAAACACCACACATTCCTGGAAACTGGTTTTCATAACAATATATCATAAAAAATAAATCAGAAGGCAGAGTCACAAACCTAACACCCTAAGATGATGCAGTATCCACTTGTTTGTGAAAGTCTGTATGGCTCGGTTTTCATCTGTGCATTACCTTATCAGCTCAATTAGGGTTTCTCAATCAATCTCCCCATCACAAAGTTCATCATTAAACAAAGTATATTTCCTGGCTAACAATGCTGACAAAAACTTCCGGATAGATGCTCATTATGTATGTTTTATATAAAACAATATTGAAACAGGCAGTCTAAGTAATACATATTTGAACTTTAAGGTAGATCAGCAAAAACTGGTCTGACTTGCACACGTCAGAGTGATGACCACCCAAAGCCTGCATCTCTACAGAAGGAGGCAGCCCTGTCCTTTCCTCACCTCAGCCACCCTGGAACTCCTCAGTGCACTGACGTAAGCTCTGGGACAGAGCTGCAGAAAGGAACTCACCCAGTGTTAAAACTAGTCCAGGAAAAAAAACCCCAACCAACCAACCAACCAAGGAGAGTGGTAAAAAAAACAGCTGAGGAGGAGTATATGGGGAGAGGAATGGCAAGACAGCTGGGTGAGTCCTCTTCCTCTATGGCAGGGAGTTTACAGTGGTTGAAGTGCTTACCTGACTACAGCATTACATGCAATTCCAGACATTTTAAAGGGTCATAGGCATAACACTCCATCCAACAGAAGATGCACTAATGTACACAATGCTTTAAAGGATCAAAAGGTATAGTTGTAGGGCTTCAATTTTTATTTTTATTAATACTGTATTTCAAGTAGAAAATTTTGTTTCTCCAACCATCACGCAGATTCTTTTTGATCTGACAGATGACAAACACATCGTAACTCCTGGTTGTGCATCAATGTTTTTTGCTTTATAATGCATCTCGCCATTTCCTAGTCAGAAGTAAAAGTGTCATATATAAAAAATGGCAGGGAAGAGTTTGCAATAAACCCCCTTTATATGCTGTTTTGTGTTGAAGGCAAAAGAATATGGACTGCTTTAACAAACTTAGTAATAAGTACGAGAAATTAATTTTAAATTGTTCTATGTTTTCAAATACTATAAAACTAAAAGCATGACTGCTTCACATTTAGCATATAAATATTGTATTTATATGCTTCTATTACTCTTGTGCATACTCTTGTGCAAATGCAACTTCATCTTCTAACATTATATGGATGAACATATTTTTCAATTAGCTAAACATGAAATGCAGAAAAAAGTTTACTGCTTTTTAAGCATTTTGAAAAAAATGCAATGTCAAATTTACATAATAGAGTCTCCCAGAAGGAATGTGTTTCTTAAAACACTACCTCCTTTTATTCATGGTAAAAATGCTACTGTCATTGTACTAGACTAAAGATGTAAGGCTTTCAAATGCACTTCACCTCCTATCATAATTTTTTATGAATACCTAGTAGAGAAGTCCAAAAGAAAACTGCAGCCTCACCAAGTGTGGAGAAAGTAAAAAATTATTGAATTTGTCCTACAATTTTACAACTCAATTCTTAAAAATTTAACGTCTCTGAGACTCATTCCTGTATACAGGGTTTTTTTCTAAAAATATTTTTTTTTTAAAGAAAGGTGACGGTTTTAAACAATATGCTCAGAATCTGTGAAGACAAAGTCTTTTTAAGTTTTGAGGATGACCTCAGCTTTCCTCAGTCAGAGGGGCCAGGTGGCACAGCCTGCCTCCTGCCCAGTTGGTGTGAGAAAGAGAGACCTCAGGAAGGACTTGCTGAGTGCTGAGGGTGCTGTGCTGCAGCAGGGATGAGAGACAGAGAGACACCAGAGGCTGTGAGGGGACAATGGGGGCAGAAGCTACAGGAATCTGTTAGACTTAGGGGCAGAATTTGGAGAGGTGTACCCAGTGCTCCCAAAGTGCAAATTCAAGAGGTCTAACCGGTGATTTGAGTCTTAAGACTGCTGTCTGAAGTACAAGTGCAGACCTCCTGTATCTCTATCTACAGGAGGTAGATAGGTTAAATCTTAGACTGCATCACATTGAATTCCTACAAAATTAACACAACTGTGTCAGTAGGGAGTGGACCAAGTTGCCCATAGTACACTCCTCTGTTTGCTTTGCTGCATGGGACTTTATTCAGCCTGGTTCCAAACACAGCCACTAAAGTTAAACCGTTAAAATAATCCATCTGATCATGACTGAGCTCACAGGAATTTCCAGTAACTATATTCCCCACACTGTACAGCACTTGCCTCCCTTAAGAAATCAGCAATCCTCCATCAGTGATAACCACAGTACTGTGATAACTGTACAGGTTTTTGTGCTTTGGTTTTCAGCGAGGAATGGGTGCCTGACCCATAACAGCATACTTTATGTTTCTTAAATATTTGAAGGAAAAAAAGACAAGTTTTTATTTCACCTATTAGTATTGCTCATACAGGGTCCTTAAGGGTTCAGGACTCTTAAACTGCCACATGAACTATTGTTCCCAAAAGATGTGCATGTGACCATTTTGTGTGAAACAGCAGAAGTTACTTTACTGATCACTGTTCCTGTAGCATCCTGGAGCTTCTATCTGTCCCCTAACTCCTTCCCTCCTCTCTGTGAGGCTACTTGCCAGCCCAGTGCTCCTATGTGACTCAGAAGATGTAAGCATACAGCAACAGCAAATACAGATACAAATTGGAGCACAGAAGCGAACATTTCTCTAAGAAAATTCACTGTGCAGCAGCAGACTTCAGAACAGACAGAAGATACACAAACAGGAATGCATGAATCAAACAAAAATCCAATCCTAGATGCTAAGGAATTTATATTCTGGGAGGAAGATGGTTAACCAGAGAGATACCTCAGATAATTAATTTCCAACTCTACTGAACAGATGTTAAGAGACGGAAGACTACCTTTGGCCTTAAAACTAGGCTTATCTTTATTTAGTTGTGAGCTGCCTCCCATAGCAACTGAGGAGGCAGAAGACGCCCTTATTTACTTTCTTGTGTGGCCTATTGGGAGGAAGAACTTGTGCTGCTGAGCCACCTGCAGGGGCCGGTATGGATGGCACAGACTGTTTTTGGCTGCAGGGAGCAGGGACAGTACCACAGGGTGGGCCAACAGAGATCCCCCTCCCGCTGGCCAGGGCACCCCGCAGGGCTCGGCACACAGCTCGCCTGGCACAGCAACGCCACAGTCAGAGCCACACACAGCTGTGTCCTTCCTCTTAGTCAGGCACCACGACGGCTCAGGGTCTAGATGAGCACAGCCCAACCAGCGACGAGGGGGAAAGGACGACGTGGCTCAGCCCGGTGCTGAGCTGCCGCCTGAAGAGATGCCTGCCTTGGTGCTAGGAAGAGGCTCATGGCTCGCACACCATGCAGCTGCTCCAACCAGAACCGTTCTCCCAGCAAGCCAGGAGCGCCCTGTCACCTTGGCTGCAGCACCTGTGCCCATGTACCAAAGCATGAGAGCATGGCATGTGCTGTGGAAGCGGCTCCCCATCCCCACGCCCACCCCGCCCTCCCGCCGCGATGCGAAGCACACGCTATGGCAGGCAGATGAGAGTATGACACAGACTTACATCCAGCGAGGGCTCCGGCATGTCGGGTGCTCCCTGTCCACCAGCCTGACCCTCTAAGGCTGAGGAGGGATTAAAGGTCAGGTCACTGTGTGGATGGTTGCTAGAAGCGGCCGGGGGTGGCTGCCGGGACTGCTGGGTAGGAGGCCCGCTGTGATGTAATGGCTGCCCTGACTGGCTGCTGGGGTGAGGGACGTGCAAACCTTGCTGCATGGAAGTATGGGACTGATCAGTGCTGCCGGGATGAGGGATCTGCGGAGGAGGAAAAAAGCAGGAAAAGAAAGTGAGGCCACAAGGTACAGTGCTCGCGTGCCTGACTCTGTAACTGCATGTTATAAAAAGAAATGAATTAAAAAACAACACACACAACAAAAAAAACCAACAAAACCAATGAACCAAAAAAAACCCAAAAAGAAATGAAAAAGCGCAATCGGAAAAGAAAACTCCATATCCCAACACTGGAGGAAGTGTTTCAGCTTTTTGGAGGTTGTCTACAAGGGGGAAAAAACACACTGGATTTGTGCTGTTGGTTTGCTTCCTTGTAATGTGGAAAACTGTGCTTGAAGATGCAAAACAATGAACCCCGAAGAGGAGGGAAGGAGGCTTATGGGTGCTGCTCAGCATTAGCAAGGCAGATGCTTTTGCCCTAAAATATTCTGTGAATGAATGGAGAATTTGTTGAATAATGATCCCTATGCCAGGAAACTCATTAACCAAGAAAATGCATAATTTCTGCTCAGCTCCCTTATTCTGTAGCTTCCTGACACCGCAGCCTATTCCTGTTTCAGCTCATTACAAACATCTTGCAAACACCGGCCCTTCCCCACTCCTCCCCTCCTTTTCTTTTCAGAATGCAACACCCCTTTTAAGGGCTGAAGTTTTTCCTCGCTGATATTCATGGGTTCTGATGGCTGACAAAACCAAGTCAGCTCAGGTAGCGCACTCCCCACCATCAGCCAAGCTGCTGTAGGTGGCTGCACACCTGCTGACTGCCAAGTACACTGCCTCGGCTTACACCGATCTAATGATCACACTGCTCTTTTGTATTCATGCCGTGGATGAGTCCTCCAGCAAAAGCTTAGCATTCTTTTTTGTTTCCTGTGGGGAATAAACTACCAAACCACATGCATCTTCCAAACCCCGTTACTGAAGAATGGGGGGCAAAGTCTTTCTCACATGACAGAGAAGCAATAAAAATGCACAAGCCCAATTTTTCCTTCTGCTGCATGTCATATTTAATGCCAGTGGATTCTCTGGGGCTTGACCTTGGTGCCATGAGAAAGAAGTGTCTGAACACTTCAGAATCAGATCTCTCATGTTAATTGGGTATATGGAGAAACAAAAAATGTAGACATTTTTTGAGGAATGCTACATATTGCCACAAAGTGGAGCTGAAATAAAAGAACAAATACATACAACAACAGCATGAAAATCATCCAGCCAAGCCAACAGAAACCAGCAAAATGCTATGTCAGTATTCACCCTCTCATATCACAGTAAACTGCAAGGTTATCTTAACTTCAGTCTTCAGTTTTAGAAAGCAAAAGGGAGGTTATTACAAAACTTAATTAAAATGTTCCCACAAAAAAAAAAAAATAGAGAAATAAGCATTAAAAAAAAGACATTTCACCACTCTTCGAAAAACTGAATTGTGAATATTGATCCCTTGGGATAGTCAGTACTCGGCAAAACAGGGGTCCTTTTCAATACTTTGGTATTACAAAGGTTTGTGGAAAGAGCAGGATTCTATCGGCAACACGGCATTTGGGTCTTAAGTACTGATACACATCTCTCCATTAGAGTTTGACTACTTGAAAAATATTCTACAACATCGTTGTTACCTTAGGGGTAAATCTGTACGAAATCTGCCCACAGACTATACTTTAATTTAAATGAATTTGCAGCCTAAAAACTATACAAAAGTCCAAGTGTAAGCAGATGTCTCTGCAAATAGTACTGTTTCCTTCCTCACTCACTGAGGATACGTGCAACAGAAAGTGTGGAAATTAAGAAAGTTTATAATAACGAAGAGTAAAAAACAATTTAAGACAGTCTCTTAAATCCCTGAATGCACAAAGGAAGAGTCATACTGGCACGTTTATATCAGTGATTATTTAAACCAGGAGGCATTAATATGTTCTCAGACAAATTTCAAAACAAATAAGGAGGTTAGAAATTCTGGTTTATACAGGCAATGATTTTATATATATATACACACACACACACAAATATTTAGTCGATAAGGCAGTCACTTGGGTCCTTGGATAACTGTTGTTCCTAGTATTAGGGCCACCATAATCTTTAAAGAGCCACTGCAGGTTCAGAATCCATCTGACTTTGGCCACCAACTACACCAGCCTACCTGGAAAAAGCAAAATGCTCAGGACCACAACATCTTTGCATTTGCATTCAGTAACTAATGATAAGTTTGCTGTGGTGCAAACACATTTTAAACAACATATTTTGTGCATGTTTAGCTTGCAGCTGTAACTCCCACAATTTTATTTTGAAAACACTAACCTGCACTATGAATGCAGAGTCTAACAAAGTTGCCTTGGCTTACATAGCAAGGTTAACTCCAGAGTTGTTTTTAGAGGCATAAACTTTGGCACTCTTAAAACATTTACAATCTATAAAAGAAAAGCTTATAGCAGACAACTACATCTTCAGCTTAACAGCACAGATCAACACAACTCTACAGCCCAACAGTGACCTCTAGGAGTGCTGAGATGTACAGCTCAGAGCAACAGGGCCTGCCAGCTGCACAACAATATTCTTTCTGTGTCTGGAGAAAATTGATAGTGGGGGAAAAAAAAATCACCAGCTTAAGTCGATGGTTTATATATCTCTCTCCATTACCAGGGTCATAGCTTTATCAACTCTTTTGCTGTGTTAGCCAGCAAAACCACTGAAAGATACCACCCTGCCTGCCCTGATGTTCCCCATCCTGCCCCTGATTTAGTTTTCAATCACATCAGTACGTGGGTCCACATCACTTCATGGCTGCAGTAACACTCATGCTGGTGTGAGAGGGAGGAAAAGTGAAAATAGAAACAAGAGCGATGACTTTTTAGTGGCACCAGCTCACATCACCTCACTGTGTAAATGAAACTATGGTGTGATCATCCATTGCTCAGTCATGTACCTTAGACTGTCTGCAATGAGCACTAAATTAGAACTAACTCTGAATTCTCCTTTGTCTAAAACTTGTTTACAATTTCTAAAAAAAACACGGTACTATTGTGGCAGCTATTCTGTAGCAATCTTGCACTGTTGCAATGTAGCATCTGTTCTATAGCTCTCACAATACTCTATGCTGGTATTCCTTCTGTTCAGGTCTTGCTTTTTTCCTTCTTCCACAGGAGTAGAACAGCAGTGTTGAGAGAAGGAAGTTCTGACTGATTCAGCCAGGGTTACCTAGCCCTACCTACACTGAGCAAACATCTGCATTTCCTGGAGTGACCTATGGAGAATGGAGGGATCAACTTTCTCTGCCTACCATTATGTAGGGACCACCACACATATCTTCGTAATAGGAAAATTAGGAACTTTCTCAGCAGCATTCAGCTCCAGCAAGAGAGACGTCAGGTCTAAAGGGACCAAACATCTGATCCTGACTCACCTCGTAAACATGTAATGGCCGAAGTGAATAGTACGTGCAAACTACTAAAACCTCCTAAATGTGCAAAAATGAAAGACAGAAAGCCAGTCAAGAGCACAGGTAACACCTTAAAACCTTGGTTCAATCACACAGCGTGTTCATAGTTATATTTGTATGAAGATGTCTGTCCAAAGACATTTAGCAATGCGTTAATGGCGTGCATTTCTCTAAAAGCAGTGACTTTAAAGATACCTTTCCTGACTGTCTACTACAGACAGACAGTTCATTTTTGTGAGAGAAGAACAAGAGAGTAAGAGAGAAAGAGGAAAGCAGAGACTTCATACACTGAAAAGGCTGTGTGGGAGCACTAAGAGGCCTCAAGCACGGACTAAAGGCTGCACAGCCACAGTGACAAGGTCAATCTAATTCTCCTGTGCTAAAAGGCTTGAAACCTGATCCTCATTACAGAAAATCAGCCACTTCCATCATCTAGGTAGAATCTGCTTTAGCACTGCTTCCTGTTCCCAAATGGTATAGCTTGAGCATCATGACAGATGAGGGAGAAGTGAGGCAAAGGTTTTCTTTAATTGTCAGCTATCATAACCAAGCATCAGATTTGCTGCAGATTAGCCCACAGAACCATAAGTCTATTAACATTTGCCCAAATACACTCCCACAGCTCTGGAATATGCATAGCCTTGAGAAACTTCCACCTCTGCTATCATCTGTAAGCAGTCCCATTTTCAGAAAGTCACAAGTTCTTCACTTTCATATTCAACCACTTCAGGTAGGGGCAACTACTATAGCAAAGGTATAGCAGCTAACTGATGAAGTCAAGAGGTACAGGTGTTAGTTAATGGGAAGCAAAGAATAATTCCCCGTGGTTTTGATTCAAAGCAAAGCAGTTGTGAGTGGCTCAGGTTGGTAGTATTTCCTCTCACTACTATATTCTAATACTGGATGTCGGTTCTGATGTGGAGAATTCAGACCAGATAAGCTGTTTATGTGGAATTTGCCAATGTGAAATTAAGTTGACAGCATGTTTGTTCTCCTTTATTATCCTGTGAAGTGGTAAAATTATTACAGTTTCCGGACTCTTCCTTTGCAGATAGTCTTGATACTTGGGCTCTCTCCAAATTATACTAAGAACTCTCTTCTCCACTTTCTTCTGTTTCTCACCATCCTCCTTGGAAAACCCACTGCCAGCTAGAGGAGACATTGACTGAGTAGGCTTTTGCTGAGCATCTGCTACCACATTTCCTCATTACATTCTGAAATTGTACTTTCCAGGATTCACTAAAGACACAGCACAGATGACTTGTCAAGTTAAACATCCTTCCTGTGCAGTAACAGCACACTTTAAAGCCCCTGCCCTGTAACTTAAATGAACATAAAAGGATGTATACACACCCCACACACAGAGTTAAAATAGATGACTAGCTATGCCTAAGAGCTAAATGCTGCTGGTAGCTTTTCTATCACCTAGCTACTGCAGTACTGCATTTTCTGGAGATATATAAAGTTCTGTACAGAAAACTCAGTGCTCTAAGCAAGCTGCTTTTCCAAGGCACAGTTCTGCCTCACCATCTGAGACCCGAGGAACCTCTATTTTTTAGTCTCTTATATTGATACTCTCAGACCAGAGGCAGCATCTCTCCCTGAAATCTACAGGTTTGTCCTCTTTCCAACAGCATAAAGGTGCCTTTCATGCTACTTGAGGGGTAGAATTCCCTCTCAGAATGCTTTCATGCAAATTTTGCCCTCAGGGAAAAAGCCAGGGAAGATATTGTCCCTGCTTTGAAGTCAGCCAATGTCTTGCTTTAACAAGTTGTCTCCTGGAGATGGATATTCACAGACCTGCTGGCCTAGGGAATGAAGTACAGGTTTTTTCATGTGTCAGCGCACAGCACAATGATTAATACAAACACACCAAGCCAGGTTCTTTCTTCCAGATAAACAAGCTTAATTGACAATTCAAAAAGTGCAGAAATGCTTCTCCAAAAACTCAGAACAGCTGGAAACTAAAAAATGACATTTCCGGCATTTCTCAGGGCTATTCTCCTTCACAAACTTCCAAAGTGAGGGATCCACAAAAGTAAAAGCAGTTCATAAGGGAAGTCCGTTAGGTGGATGAGAGCTCCTTATCCCCACAAAGGCAAAATCTATGTGCACAGCACCATTACTTACAGATTCCTGCATGGGGTGACTGAGAGGCTTGTCGAGAGCTGCCATGCTGCTTGGCATGTCAGGGGGATGCGACAGCTGTGGCCCATGCATGAAGTCATTCATAGATGTGCCACCAGGATTCCCGTGTGGGAAGTCAAAATTGCCATGACCTTGGTAACTGTTGCCTGAAAGAGAAACAGATGTGATTTGTTTCCCAACATTGATCTCTCAGAGTATCCTCTAAAAGCTGTGTGGTGCGATGTTCTCCCTGCACAGCACAGGGCAACCGCGACGCTGAACGTGACCACGCTGTGCTCCCCACTGCCAAGAGAGCTGGGGGAACAGGGAGGAGAAAGGACACTCAGCTTTCAAATACTGGCTCCTGCAATAACCCATGTATGTGTTGTAACTAACTGAAAACTGCTGACATTTTGAAAAACTACTGTCAAGTCACCATCTAAACTTAACCATGCTCATAAGTAAAACAGAATATTAAATTCTATGGGATATTTGCATTTGGAAGCACCTCAGTGTAACTGAGACTGACTGCCCAAGTCCCAAATTAATTATAGGACACCTGTCTTATTTATGTCTATGCTTCTACACACTCAGTAAGATTGTAGCATTGCTTCAGTTTCTGATGAAAATAATTGACAGAAGTGAATCTGGAAGATGCCACAGTGGCAGTTCATAGTACAGCATCTATTTTACCTCTTCTTCTGTGGGATAAACAGGCAACTTCCATTAAGATAGCACAGTAGAGGCCTTCACATCTAATTGGAGTCTGTGATGTAATTCTCCTTGCTCCCACAAACCCCAATAAAATTCACATGACTGTCTAAATTTACACACACATAGCCCCATCTACCATCCTGAAACAAGCCACACCACCTCAGCCCAATGATCTTCATTTAAATTCTAAAGCAAGCATGTATCCCACCAATACAGGCATTTTACTCTCCATATTTTTTCTGTCAAGATCCTTCTCTTAACACTTCCAACTCAGATCAGTGGCTTATTTGCTACGAACTGCAAAAAAATGAAGTAAAACCACTTTGCTATTTCATAAAAGCAACTGAACTGGATGATACTGAGCTCTGAAACAACAGAATAGCTTTGGAGCTTGCACAGAGCGCCTGCAGTTTGTCAGCTGAAGTACAGCAGTTTTAAATATTCAACTCCAGAAGGGAGTTTGACAAACTGAAGTAGCTGCATCATTTGCTCTTCAGTACAGCTTCACAAGCAGAAGTTTAATCTTGGAGGAATAGAAGTCATTAGCCATGTAAGAGTACTCCTCAAAGATATCAGGACTTTGATCTATCATGTAAATACTGCAGAGCCTTACTAATTCTCATTTTGTTAATCTGCAAACTGGATGAGTCTCACAGAATATAGCTGGTCTTGCCTTGCATCAGGAATAATTAATTAGCAGACAGCTGGAATGTGGTCTTTTATTACTGAGTATTTATTATATTTGCAAATTAAGCTTCGGTATGCTTCCTGTCAAACTGAAATAAACAAACATAAAACCACAGTAGTAGTACTACTACTACATTGCTTTAAAGAACAGTTATCTATTTGCAATCACTAAATTGCACATATTAGTGGAGAATGAAGATATAAGGCAGCATGCCCTTCTCTGTGGTAAGAGTTGTGCCACATGCTGAGGGAGAGACCTCTAAGACATTTAGGATAACCTGGTATGCTGCACTGATATGCCTATTGCAGGGGAAATAGGACAGCGTGGGTTTCACCTGCCATTGATGACTCAGGGCCCCAAGAAGCAATGACTGCTGCAGGATCCACAAGGGAAGGCAGCAAAATAACAGCCTAGGCAGCAATCATTACACAAACCCTAAGCCCCACACTGTACGTGACTACCCTGTCCGCTCCCGATTATGAGCCAGAAACTCAGTGAAGAAGAGATGGCTCTGTTCTCATGCTCTGACTGCACTTCACTCCTACCAAACAAGTGAAAAAATTGTGATTCAGTGCTCTTGGCTTTGTTATAGTAATCATTCATCTGTTTGAAAACCTTAGAAGTTTTATCATCTGTCATCAGTTTTGAGTCATTGGAGCAAATTAACCGTATTTTGCATGTAATCCATATTTTTCTTCAATGCCTGCAAAAAGCACATGTATCACCTTGTAATCAATTTGGGGATTCTGGTGGTGTGAACAGTTGGTCTTTTCCCAGAGCTGAACTGAGTCATATCATATTACTTGCAAAAGAAACAGTCTCTGGTTTCATATTTTCAGAATTGTCACTATAATTGAGTTATTCACAACATACCAGTAATTTGAAAACCTATCTCCACTGCCTGTGTTCAGTTCCCTGTTTCTCAATCTGGCAGCACATGGGTAGAGGAACTAAAAAGTAATCTTCTAATGCAAAGGTGTTTGCAAAGCAACTAAAAGGTCTTTGAAAGTCATCCATTTTCTGGGTGGCCTACTGGATGTCACCCACATGGCCATAAGTTAACCTTAGTGGCCCAAGTAGCTGGGTTAATGGGTCAGGTCTCTACTTTCTAACTTACGTAGTACTGGGAGTCTTCACTTCAGGGTGGAACAGAAGAAAAAAGCACAGAAAAAATGTGGAAATATGTATATTGTGGCAGGCCATGAATATATAAGGTAACATACAATGTTTGTTGATTCAGGGAGGACTGCATGGCTATAGATATGACAAGCACCTAATACTTAAAATATAAAATAACTAAATACTACAATATATTACTAAAATACATTACTAAAACATACTACTTACTAAAATATATTTTTCTTTAAACAGACGAATTTTAACTGAAAAGACTAATGCAGAATTTCAGAAACGCAGCCATATGTTTTTCCTAATGCATCTCTGAGAAGATGCACTGACATACCTGAATCACAAGGCTGACTGAGTGACTTATTTCTAGAGTGATCACCTGGGTCCATAAATCTGTAAAACTAACCTTGGTTACCATATTCAGTGGAGTTGTTGCCTCCTGGAGGAGGGGGTAAGGATGGGTAAGGTGATGGGCCAGGACCCAAAGCTGCAATCATCTCCATTACATTTGGCATGATCATCTGGCTTGGACTCATGGTCTTAAATCTTTTTGAGGGAATGCCATCTGGGTCATCTTTGATGTGAATATCTGACTTTATAGGGACCGGCCTCCAACTGCAAGTTGGATCAATGGTAACTTCTTCAAACTCGGAGCTGTAAAATAACGTGAAAAATTTAGCATATGAATTGAATTTTTTGAAATCAATTCTGCTGAAGTTTCCATAAGAAACTGCATGGTCACCAATGTTCTGAAATGCTCTGGTAGAATACAACCTTAAGATCTTTTATTCCTCAAATGTGTGCCGAAAGCAAGTCATAAAAAAGGCAACTGTGAGAGCACATTTCTGTGTTTATCCACACAATGAAATCCAAACATATTGATATGGTCTGCCACCTGTGAATCAGAGGGACTGCTTGTAAATACAAGAAAGTAGTAAATCTTCCATTCTTGCTCTTCCCTCTGCTTCATTGGTGAGGCTGCCATCAAGAGACAACCCAAACAAGACCTATGAAGTAGATGGAATCTGATTCACTGTATCACCAGCTCCACCAAAGAGCCATGCAATAGAACATTCGAGTTCAATCACCAAGATTTATTTTGGTGTGACTGTCTCAGTACTCATTAACATATCTCCTAGTTGCCTAGTCTTGGATATCAGAAATGAGTAGGATCACTTACTTTTGTATAGCGTTCAGAATACCCCACATATACTGGTCAACCTCCAAGCCCTCCAGAAGAGCAGTTTTACTAAAAACGAAAAAAAACCCCAAACCTCAGGTTAGAATATCGCTAGGGATGAAAGAAGGAGAGATTAGTGATGAAATTAGCAGGTTGATTATGTAATATATCATCCAAGAATGATTTTGGGCAAACAATTTTAGTTCTGCACTTGCATTACCAGGATAATAGTATTTACATCAAACAGATGAGATAAGGAGACATCTACTTGTATGTGTTCACAAGCTGTTCACACTCTGTAAGTAATTTTTGTTAGTGAAATACATTGCAAAGTTAAAGTCTTTTAAAACATAGCAGATCTCTCCTGTGAACATCAGTTAGCACTATTTTTTAAATTACATCTTTCTCTTTTTTTTGAGCTACACAGTACTATGGCTTCAAAGTAACCATGTATTATAGCTATTTTACTTAAGATTGGCACAGATGGGGACAGAACAAAACAAAACCAGAAATGATTTATTTATGTAGGCACTTAGATCTGAATGCAGGTGCTCATGCTTAGAGAAACAGGACAAAAATTTAGCCTGGATGTATGAATACATGAATTAAGAAAGCAAGACATCCAATTCTTGTGATATTTTTAGCCAAACTTAGAAGACAGAAAAGGTTTGGGTAGTTCAGAGAAAGCACCTGTATGTTAGGATATGTATCAGTCATGGATAGCCATGGAAACAAGCTCATCTCCAGCCTGCCATGTCCACAGAACTGGAGACTTGCGGAGACCAAGTACAAGCTGTTACAGCTACAGCTGCTCGAGCTAAAGAGCCCTGGCTTCTCAGCTGAGGCTGGCACACACTCCTAACACTGAGGACTGGGCTCAGTAGGTCACAGACACTGAACTGGCCTCCAAACATCCCACAATTTTTTGTGCCCAGTTAAACATAAGGACGGACAGTCTGTAACCACTTCGAAGCTTTTTGTTCCATTTCCTCTGCGTATACCAGCTCTCTGGTCAAAACATAAGGTTGAAATTATGCCAAAGACATGCATCCCTCTTTTCCTTTAAGCAACAATTCCAAACTTCTGTTCTTTGGAAATTTTTAACCTTTTTTAAAATCAGCCTTATTCTGGAATAGCATCCTTCCTGCTTTCTGCTCTCACTTTAATTTGCACTTGATGTTGATTTTTACCTTGGAGGATCCAAATTAATTTCCTATTTAACTACTGGGAACTGTTGCAGTCTCCAAAATTCCCCTTCTCCTTGAACACTGCTGTTTACTGCATATCTATATGACTCAAAGCTCAGTACCTGAGACAGTTATTTGGCATCCTTACTGAATGTTTAGCTGGATGCTGAACACTATATACATATTTGAAGTTCAGTAATTTGGGGATTACAAATTAAAATTATACAAAAATAACTCTAGAATAGACTATCCCTTCTTTTGCCATGGCATGTTGTTGTCTAGTAGTTGCTTATACTTCATAATCTAGGAGAAGACAGACTTGTAGTTCATTTGTTTATGTAGGTATCTGCCTTACCAATGTAAATATTTGAGCCTCTTTTGAACTCTACACAACCCATTGACAGCCTGTAATGAGAGCCTGCAGGTTACATATTTTGTGAGAAAATATTTCGTTATCTCTTTTTAAGTTTCTAATAATCAAGGGTGGTGAAATATTGCAAAAATTCTCATTGGATTTGATGCTCTTAAGTAAATGTGGCATATACACCTTATTTCCTAGCACTTCCTTTTTCTCCCCTTCTTGACTTCTAAAATTATCTGAATTTGGTCAAATTGTGTACAACTGCATTTCATGAAGTATGGTTGCACTTACTTGCATACTGGACACCTCCAAGTTCCTCTTTCACAGTTCAGTTGCAAGTAAGATTCCAGATCAAAGCACTAGGTAGCAGAAAGTAACAAGGAGAAAAACAAACAAAACAAAACAAAAGGAAATAAAGGGAGAATACTGTATTAAATGAATCAGTTAGACAAAAGCAAAACTGACATGAAAACTAAACCGGATAGCTTACTTTCTTCCTCTACACTAAACATATAAATACAGTTAATTATTTAGGCTGCCAAATATAAATGCCATTTCATCAGGCACTCTCACATGATAACCAAGCTAAAGGTACTGTAACAACACGTGGCTCAGGGAATACTGCCAGGCCACTGGCACCTACTCACTTGTACATGCTTGCAATCGTGACCCCTTGCTGGGAGCTGAATCCGCCGGAATGTGATCGGACACTTCAGAGACACTTTAATAGCAGTTTGCTCTACTCCATCTTCCCCATTTAGTGTTGCGTTGCCAGAGGAAGCTGCCACGCTACTGAAGTTCCTCTTTACTGTTTAGGAAGAAGGTATTTGTATGTGTGAGAAAGCACAAGCACACTGTAAATTCTAACACACAAATCTGAAAGACCAACATTTCAACATTTAAGGGACAATTTAATGAACAATTTATTGACAGAGTTGTCTTCTGTGTAATTTAGAACTTTCTCCTGAACAGACACGTCATCACACACATGCATATCAGCTATAGCCTCAAATAAATAAAATGCCACACAAGCACTAAAAGCAGCCCTAAAATAGAAAAAGAATAAATCTGTCTTTTAGGTAGGTAAAAAACAAATATGGGGGAAAAGCAGAGATTCTCCTGGAATAGGAACTAAGCTTGTGTTCTTGGAACATTGCTACCCCCACTCAAATAGCCCTTAACATTTGAGGATACCAGGGATGTCATCTACCCACATCATGTTTTGGAAATTCTAGACAATTACAGCTTAAGGTTATCAATAAACAAGTAAATCTTGCACAGACATAGCTTATCACAACCGAACACAGACACTTTACAAAGTCATCACCCACACAAAATGCAAACTCACTCTTGGTGATACAATGTTCTGCTGGGAGGAGGCGTTTCTTTAGTAGACCTTGAAGTACAGAGCGAACTGATGGCCGGTGTACCAACTGCAACACGAACAAGTGTGACTGCAAGAAAACACATTCTGTTAGGAAAAGAACCAAACACACATGTTAAATACACTCCTGAACAGAGATGCACTCTTCCCTTGGACACTTGGCTTTCATGAGAGCTTAAATATGAAAGCTGGTTCTGCTCCTCTGCGCACACGTGCTCCCTTATGGATACTCTGCACACTGTGCAGGACGTTGCCCCATGCTTAGGGTATACAGGGGCTTTAAAAAACTAAAGATTTTCTGCATTTTCTCCCTCCGTAATATTCAGAGTACATAGGGCTGACATATTAATCTCTGACATCAGGGTTTATTTTAAAACCCTGGATTGTTTGACACAGTCTAGCCTACCTGTCTGCCCTCAGACTACGTTGGAAGTTAAGAAAACAATCTGCGACTGATGTGCCTGGAATCAACTGAATCTTCTTCCCCAACACGGAGCTCGTTGTGGATTCACAGGATGCTGCTCCTGCTCTCAGCCATCAGATAAATGATATTATGCAGGGAAACATCAGTGTGAAGTAAAGCAAAATGAGTGGATGGCTTATTGTCAACGTGCCTCACACAGTGACCTTGTGAGAGCTTGCAGCTCGCTTTATTGTCAGTGACATGAGGACAGTCAAAGGCTCAGACTGGATGTGCAGAATAGTCTACATTAAAAATACAGTACTCATCCCCCAGGGTAACTAACCCATGGAAAAGGAGAAAGGGGAAAGCTGAATGGTCTAGAGAGTGCATCATGGAATATGAGTTTTTAATCTAAAAAGGTATTTGAAAAATCATCACCAACACCAACAATTATGATGTTGATCTTTTCATGACAAATCAAACACAGTTTAATACTTTAAGTTAATGAAATTAGTACCATCAACAGTCTTCATCCCAGTAATCTACTTCTACACTAATACACTTTAGCCACCTTGTTACATAGCACACAGTAAATGGTAGGAGATCAAACTCCCTTCCTCCCCAAAACCATGAACATTGTCAGAGACGCTGGAAGGACACCACTACATTCTCCAATAATTAAGCAGCAAAAATTTTCATATTAGCACTCTGACTGTTTCAACATCATTAAATAAGAACCTTACCAGAAAAAGATATGGTAAAAAATGAGAGTAAGGCTCCTTCAGCTAAGGCAACATTTGCAAACTGTTCTAAATAGCAAACTCAGCATCAGCAGCTGCAGCCGTGAGCTCAGGGTACTTACGCAACAACATGCTGTGACTGTAATTTGAATCGTGTTTCTTCCTGGCTGGCAGACGTGCTTTAGGTGCAGAGGTTTATGAGATGTCTTGTTGTCACCACGTTCGATGGTAAGTGGGGTTGCATTAACGCTGACCTGGACTGAAGCTGGCCAGTTTGTGTTCATTTGTCTGTCTTCATGGTGATAGCACTTGAACTGCAACTCCAAGTCAGACCTGTACAACAACCAATAAATCTTCCTTTAACTTTGCTTTCACATTGCAGAGAGGGGTTGTTTTGATGCTGGGAACGTTCTTTCTTTCCCAATCAGATTATTTTTCTAAAACTATTGCCAATAAGGAGATAACATGCTTTCTTCATAAAAGCCCTTAACAGAAGCAAGTCATGATGAATTAATGATGGAGGCATGCCCCAAAGTTGTTCATATTTTACACTTATAAAGGACTTTCCAAAGAAACATCTCAAACCTCCCTGCAAACCTAGACCATGGAGTGATTCTGCAGAAAGAAGAATGTCAACATCATGTATGTCCTTTGTGTGTTAAGAACAAGAAAACAGTATGCAGCAGTGGAGTGTGCTGGAAAACTGGATTCTTCGCTACCTCAGAATTTAAAAGAGCATTTGAATGAACGCTTGACATACAAAATACAAGTACAGCTAATCCTGACTTAAAAAAGGTAAATCAACCAAGCTAAAATGACCCCTATATCTCACTCCCCACTGAAACTGCAGTTTCTGTGATTCCAAATTAACACAGCTGTGGATTAAATCTACCCAATTTAGACCTTATTTCAGGGCATGAATTCCTCCCACCTCTCCAATAATAATTTTCACACACTATTTAGCTCCTCAGAAATTAGTTCTGTAACACCTCCAAAAAAGGAAGAGGCTGAGATTACGTTAATCACAAATTAAGTGGGTACAGACTATGACTTCAGTTTCATAAAAGGATGTTAACCTTGTGTTAGGAATGAGTAATTTAAATAAGAAATCTAAAAGAACATGGAAAACTGAACTAAAATGTCAGGATTCTGCGGTTCATGACAGCAAAAGACAGCTGAAAGTTTATCATTCACACTTGAAAATCTGTGTGTTTATTTCTTCATGTTTCCTGAAAGAAGATATCTTTGTAAGATCCAAGAGGAACAGATCATTCAGGAGATCATCACCTTAACTGCCATTTTCCTTACTAAGATTTCAATCTGACTCAACATAATCTTTTATGGATTTCAAAACATCAAGATTTAGCACTGGACACAAACATTTTTTTTTTAAAAAGAAATTTAGGGAATACAAATTACCTGACCTTTCAACATAATCCATCCATATGAAGCCTTTTCAGGCTTTTTTTCAATATTTTATTAACCATTTTTTGAAAGCTTTCTCTGCAAGTTCCACTCACATTCTCACCTCACAAGAACACACCACAGTCATCCAAACTTAGAGGGAAGCAAGGCTTGGTACCTCTGACATCAAACCCAAGCTGACTGGGTGAGCAGGCCTGCTCAATGTCACAGAGCAGTGACAGGGCTCGGGAGACCCTCATGTTCTTAGCATGCAGTGTCTCCACCACGGGACGTTATTCATAAGCGAGCAGTGTGAAGGCTGAACCAGCTTCAAGGAGACATTTTCCCTGCCTTCAACCTTTCTGTTTCTCGTAACCATGAAAAGTTCCCAGTGGGGAGAGAAATAGTTGCATTGCTATTCATTATGTGTGTACACGTGAGAGGTTTTGCCGAATATTTTAACTGGCAGAAAAACATTGAGAATTGGCTCGATTCCACCATTCTCTATAAAAACCGAAATCCATCCACACATGTGACTAATTCATTTTTCTGGCATCCATCCAGCCCCCAGTTAAATGTGGAATGACTTCATTACAGGACCATCCGTTCTCCCCACTATTAACAAGCTTTTCAAAACAGCAGACCTGAGCACAGTTTACCTATGAGTCTTCATTAAAATAAGTTTAAATAAAGGCTATGTGTTTGGTGAGCGAAAGAAGAAAGAAAGAAGAGATATTAAGAAACAGCCTCATGCCTCAGTGCAGCACTATAAATCTACTGAATGAGCCAGCACAATCCCCAGTAGTGATTACTTATTAATAAGAACTGGCAAATAACTGCCAAAACTCCCTCTGCTGCGAGTACTCCACGATAATGAAATGCAAGCAAGCAATAACTGACCTTAAAGTTAGGTGTTAATTATTGGATGTGGTCTGCCTGCAATCTCCCTTCCTCCCAACCCCCAGGCTACCTCAGGGCAGAGGGGGCACCAAGGCACAAGGACTCCTGCACTCTGCATCAAGCCTCAGCTTTAGAGCCAGAATCTGTCCCCAGGGTAGGGAAGTGAGTGCACCTCTCTGCCCACCTCTGCCCTCCACACCATGAGAACAGAAGTCTCAAGTGGATTCCAGTCAGTGGGAAGAAGATTCTCACAGGGAAATAACTTCCATGAAAGATCCCAAGCAACTAACCAGCCTCCACAGTGCACAGAGAAAGGTTCAAACAATGTAATCATCAGGCAGGATAAATACTGAGACACTTTCTGAGAAAAACAGAATGAGGAGACACAATTATTCTGTAGTATTTGAAAATATATAGATTAAAAAAAAATTAAGGCTCTGATTGTCATTTGATCTAAGGCACTTCCATGAGCATGGAGGAACCAAAACATAACCTGGAATCACTTACACAGATCTACATTAAATGCAGGAAAGTACCACCAAGGAAAACTATTCTGCGCTGAAAATAAGAACTCACTAAGTGAAAACCAGAAGTCTTTGTATGTGGAAAGCTATGTTCTGATATTTCTGAGCTGTTTTTACTTGTGGAGTAAGAAAATAGGGGGAATCTAGGAAGTTAGTTTCTGAAGTTTGGAGAATTTAAACACTTGTCTTTCCAAATGATTTTACCAAGCCTCTAAATCAGGTCCTTCATTAGTGGGTTATTTTTCATTATCAGATAGTTTGCACCATTTAATTTAAGCATAAGCTGTAAGAGCCCTGCATAGCTACTCCTGCAATTAACATTTCAGAGGCCACAAAGCACCTTCAGAGACTCTGAAATGGAAGTTCATACTCGTGTGGGTCAGGTCACGTACACTGTGCTCCTGTTCCGCACAGATCAGAAAGGATGGAACAGCTGTAGTGATTTTTTTGGACACTGAATGCTATGTGCTACCAGCAAGGAGATACAATACATATTATGAAGCATTTCAGAATGTGTTGTCTCTGGAAAATGACAGGTGGAAGTACCGAGGAGTCAAAAGGACATCCTCCCCATCCAATCTATAACTTTTGAAGCGAAATTCATGGCAAACCTCCATGGCCCTGAAATTCATGGCCACTCCTCCACCACGGGATGCAAGACTTCTTTGCAGCAAGGCTGATCTTACCTCCACATCAGTGTCTGATGGACAGTTGGCCGTAAGTGAAAGACATGGTTACTGACTGCCAGGTTGTGTTCCAGCCGGAAGGGCTCCAGGACAACCCCATCTCTCACGGGAAACGTCAGACGCAGTTCATCGTTGTGGTTGGCTGGGATCGAAGAGGGAGAGAAAGCGTGAACTTTCCCTTTAGCATCTGCAGTGCAATAATAATGTGTATATTTATACAGAATAGTGACAATTTGCACAGTGATCTGCTACTGGGTCTAACTTAGCAGGCTTACACACACAAAAAAGAAAATCACAAGTGACTACGTCATCTAAGTGATGCAAGTGACAAGGTTCAAATTCATGACAATGGCAAAGCAGTCTTCTATTCTCCCATGCTTCACATTAGGACCTTAGCATTCCAGCCACAAACCAGGCACGGCAAAAATTCTTGGTTTTTATTACAGGATAGGTTCTGTGTCCAGGCTTACTCTGTTGGCAGAAGACTGACAACAAATCTCTTTATTATGTCAAACTGTGATAATGCTTGTTTTCCCTGCTTTGAACTGGGATCAACATTACCCAATTTGTTTCAAGTTTCATCAGCTGAAAGTATCTGATGACCAAAGACACTGTATTCAATTACTACCTGAGCCCATAAAGGAGGTTTTGTGGTAACTTACAGCTGATCTGTGAAGTCCAAATGGCTTTAAATGCTGTGTTCTTGCCCAAATAATACTGCAGGCCACCTTCTTCTACTTGATTTTTCAGCTATCCTGAACTCCAAACAGAGCTGCAAAGTGCTAATGCAGCAGCAGTTATTTTACACAAAACATAAAGGTTTTCACAGCTCCCTAGTAAATGATATCCCCTGTTGTTCATCAGTCACTTCAAAACCTCAAACATCTCGTGCTAGCATCTAGTCAGACAGATCTTGTTATTCCTGCCCTGTTCCCAGCCAAATGTAGCTGTGATGCTGAGTGGCTTTGAAAAGAACATATATCAATTTTTGGCATACTACTGAATATTCTTAAGAAGCCTGCACGGATTACAATAGAGACACCGCTATAAATATTCACGTTTTACACTATTCTGCAGTGTTGTTCAATGAATGGCTTTGCCCTTGAACAAAACAGACCACAATGAAAGTTCATACAATAAACAAAGCACTCATAGCACAACCTGAAAACAACTGTTTTATCCTCAAGAAGTGTATCAAAGGAGTAGTTCAGGAGCAAAACTCTTACAAATTTGACCTAGAAGAACTTTTCTGATATTCTGTTTTAGGAGGGGATGGCAATCTTTCTCTTTTCTGTCCCCTGGTTCTAGTGAGTCTACACCGCACGTGCCACCTATTATAACTTACAGCTTGAGCCTCTCCCAGAGCAGCAATCGGAGCTAGTTTCCAGACTCTGAAGGGTATGGGGCAGAGAACAGAGGAACAATAAATGACTGTGGGGGCATTCTGTTTGCTACTCACTTGGAGGCGGTGGTAAAGCATTGATATTTGGTTTAATATCAGGTGGGAATGGCGGTTTGACATCCTGGTTAGGTGACAGGTATGGAGGAATATTGCTCCCTGGTGTCATAGGTGGTGTGGGGTTTCCTGGAACAGGTGAATGAGGGTAATTTGCCACAGGTACAGGCCTTGATGGCTAGAAAATAAATAACATCACATTGTTACTGCAGTCTTAAAATAAGAACAATAAGCCTTGTGAGCAGCACTGTTATCAAACACCAAAGACTACAAACAAGGGAGGGAGGCCCCTCTGTTTCTGGACAAGAAACCACAGGATGTCCCATGAGGCCTTCAGGGAAGAGGCCCCTTAGGAGAGCAAAGCAGGAACTGAAACCAGCAGACCAGCCAGCTTAACTCAGGCAATGACCAGATATAAGAAAGGCTGCCAAAAGCCTTTCTGCATTCATCTGAACACTCCCTTTCCAAAACCAACCAGCCATTCACTTCAGTTTTTCCACACCACCACAGCCCACCCAGCCCTTTATATCTCTTTGCCGTCCTCCCAAAATAGCCCCAGGGCACAGAAGCCTACACGAAAAACAAAATCCAAAGACACACAATTAGACAGTCTGTGTCCCTTTTACTTCCCTCTATCCTTTCTTCCACCCCTGTCCAAGTCATCTATTCAGAATTAAAGCTCTGGGGGTCAGGGGATGTTTTTTATTCTGTGTACCTACAATTTGATTCTGTCCCTAGTCTGTTGCTGGATAAGAGAAACTAATAGAAAAAGGATAATTAAATATAAATAGTAGCTACATATTAAAACACTGTTGGTTTTGTTTCTTGTAATTAAGGGGGTGGTTGCAGTTAACAGAATAAACCAATAACCCTGATGTGAAGGAAGCTGACATTAAACAAAACTGCAGCTGCATGGCACTCTCCTGTAATAGTTCATGTACCATAAGCAGAAACACATAAGAGTGTCAGAAGATGAAAACCTTTACAGACAGCCAAAGCATCCTGACTTCAAATATGACTCTGTAACTAAGCGCTGCTCTGCTAGACTAGGATACTTGAAAGTACTTAAGAAGAAAGGTGCCTTCTAAAATCTTAAGCATTTAAATTCCCAGCCATCTTTGTTTTTTTCCTTTAACACATACAGTTACTATCTCCACAATCACTACAATTTAAATGTTCAGGTTCTGACTGTGGCAAACTGGAATTTTCCCCCGCCCAGGATAATCTCCCTTATTAACAAGAGCTCTTTTTCCCTAACTGTTTCCAGAGCAGTTGATATTTGAATACAAAATAGGGGATACACTGGAAAGACAACAGATTCTCTGTTAAAACTATCCTGTAAATCAAAAAACTTAAACCCATCTAATATAAACACAGATAAAATGTATTTAAAAATCTGCCACTTAAAAACTTCAGAGATCTTCTGCTGTTATTCTAGTGTGACTGCACTGG